CACCACTGACAACCCCAGGGAACGCCATCTACTGCCTCCCTGCTGTTGTTTCCATGGCCAAGGTCTTGCTCAGGCCAGGCCAGCCTCCTGTTCGCCAGCCTCAGCTTGGCTGTCTGGGCCTCACTGACCATCTTAGGGAGAGCTGCTTGCAGGGAGGGATGAGGAGGGAAGCCAGACTGCAATGAGTGGGAGGTGAGGAAAGGGAGATTGTAGACGCAGACAGCTTTTTCACAAGTTTGGCTTTGGAGGGGAGGAAAGAATTCGTAGGTAGCTGCAAGGAGATTTGGTGTCAGAGCAGTTTTGGGGGTTTTTTGTTTTTGTTTTTTAACTTCAGGAGAGATTTACACATGTTTAAATGTCAATGGGAAGGTTCTAGTTAGGAGGGAGGGGTGGAATAAATAGGCGTAAGAAAGAATCCTGAGGAAAAAAGAGAAGGTTCCTCTAAAGAGCACCCAGATGTTAGGGGAGTCTCTTTCTGCCTTAGACTTGGCTGAGGCCCCAGACAAGTGCGGCAGCCCCTCCCTGATTCCTGTGGGGGATGCTAGACCACCTATGTGGGACTGGGAAGGGAAATGCCTGAGAACTAAGAGTGTTGAGTCACTATACTGACCACCCACCTCCAGCTTATAAAGAAGTTGGAGAGGCCAAGAGAGAGGAGCCACAGACTAGGACGTGGATTTCTTTAGGGGAGGCTTGTACTATGGAGCCTCCTTATGGGGGTGGGGAGGCAGGTTTCCTATTTTCCTCAGGATTCAACTGAGGGGGCCAAGGGGAGAACTGGAATGGTGATCCCTGGAGTCAGGGAGACACAGGGGTGTCTGACTCACCCCTAGCAATCTACAGGGTGTGTGTGTGTGTGTTTGTGTGTGTGTGTGTGTGTGTGTGTGTGTGTGTGTGTGGCTGTGTCTGCCTGTCAGTCCACTGGACTTTGAGAAAGTCCTATATCAGAGAGACAGGTGAAGGTCGGTCAAATGCATGCACCCATGAGGACAGTTGACAATGTCTGAGACTTTTTTTTTTTGGTAGAGACAAAATCTTGCTATGCTACCCAGGCTGATCTTGAACTCCTGATCTCAAGCAATCCTCCTACTTCGGCCTACCAAAGTGCTGGGATTATAGGCATGAGTCACTGTGCCTAGTTGACTGGAGACATTTTTTATTGTCCAGACTAAGGGGTACTACTAGTGGGAGTCATCCAGTGGGCAGAGACCAGGGATGCCACTAAATAACATACAATGTGCGGGACAGGGACCATTGAGAGGGGAGGAGGCTGCAGGATCTGTATTGGGAAGTTGAAGGCATCTCTGTATTATGATTTAATTTTTTCCATGGAGTAAGAGGCTCATCTTCTGCTGGGAGGAGAATGGGAGGACCTTGGAGGTTTGAGAGAAAGAATTGACATAGTCATTCTAGAAGTGGAGGAACTAGGTGACACATAGTAGGCTGCCAAACGTAGAAATAGCCACCGACAATGTGTGAGAGAATGGTGGGTCCAAAGGTCGAGCCAGAACAGATTGCTGGAGGCCATCCAGTGGGCCTCCATGGTAGCGGTCCCCAATCTTTTTGGCATTAGGGACCAGTTTAATGGAAGACAAAACCACAGACGAGGTGGGGGAGGGGATGGTTTTGGGATGATTCAAGTGCATACTGCTTATTGTGCACTTTATTTCTATTATTATTACAGTGTAATATATAATGAAATAATTATAGAACTCACCATTAAAACAAAAAAGGAGGCGCAGATGGAAATGATAGGTGGGCCACACACAGACTAAAGTGTTAGATTCTGACTTAAAACCTGCAACCAGATGCAGCTGTATAGTTGAAGTACATTAACTCACTTGCCACTCACTGATAGCGTTTTGATATGAGTCTGCAAACAATTGATTTATTATCGTCTCTGTGCAGTCAAACCTCTTGGCTAAAGTTAATCTGTATTTGTAGCAACTCTCCAGCGCTAGCATCACCACCTCAGTTCCACCACAGATCATCAGGCATTAGATTCTCATAAGGAGCGTGCAACCTAGATCCCTCGCGTGCGCAGTTCATAATAAGGTTTGTGCTCCTGTGAGAATCGAATGCCGCTTCTGACCTGACAGAATGCAGAGCTCTGGCAGTAATGTGAGTGATGAGGAGTGGCTTATATACTGATGAAGCTTCGCTCGCTTGCCTGCTGCTCACCTCCTGCTGTGTGGCCTGGTTCCTAACAGGACACAGATTGGTACCAGTCTGTGACCCTAAGGACTGTGGACCCCTGTTCTATGGGATCCCCTAGTGGAGCCTGTGTGCACTGGTGTTCATTAACCAGGGCACTCAGCAGAGCATCACTGAAACTTGAAGTGGCAGTGAGAGTCTGTTACCAGCTTCATCTTTTCTGTTGCTGTAGGTCTTAGAGGTCACTAGACTGACTTTGGCATTCCTCATTGATCAGTCAATTCCTACATTGGTGATGACACGGTGACTGCTGGAAGCTCTTAGCTTCCTTGAGTCAGTACAACATCATCCAAAAATTCTACCTTTACAGAAAGAAGCCCTTCTGACTTGCGTAGATTTCATCAAGTGTGGTTCTAGCACCTCGTGTTCCTGACTGCTCCCGCACAAGTCTGTGAGATGAGAAACGTGGGAGATGCAGCTCTCAATGCTTCTTACAGAAATGACCAGCTTGGTGCTGCGGTGGTCCTGACCCCAGTAAGGTTCACTGGAAGGATTTGGAGTCCCTCACAAGATGGAAGGGAAAATTGAAGTGCCTGGTCTGGAAAGGACAGGAACCGAGGAGACCCTGGTGACCGAGAAACAGGAACCGACTGGCAGTCTTATCTGGCCACGCTACTAGGATGTGTCAGTCTTGGCCTCTCCTCTGGTTTTGCTTCCCTTCATTCAAGTCCGAGTGCCTAGGTGGGCTCAGTGCTCACCCCTTCCACATCCCCGCCTCCCTCCCAGAGAGGATGGACACCATTTCTGATTCCCATGGATAATCAGAGCGCCATTCCCAGATCTGGGGAAGTAGAGGCAGGACTCAGAAGACAAGGTACTTGAAGCTCCTGGATCTCCTCAGCTTTATCAGGAGAAGAAGAGTTCTGGGATGCTCATCTCCTGGAGGCCCTCCACAGTTCCCAAGAGCCTCCTCGTCCATGATGGAGGTGACTAAATTTCTCTGAACCTCACCTTTGAGACTCAGATGGAAATAGGATTGTGTAACAATTTCAGGAGGATTTGGACCCTAGATTGCAAATCCCTCCTCTAGGATGCCTTGTATAGCCAGTGTCTGCCTGGCTCCGCTGCAGACCTCATACAAGTTCTCCCTGGGACCTGCATTTAACTATTTCACGCTCACAGACATATGAATTATGCGTGAAGGGCCCCAAGTCTCTTTTTAACCTTATAATTTTTTTTTTTTTTTCTAAAAGGGCAAGGCACTATTTTAGTCACTGTTTTGCAGGGAGAAAAAAAAAATACTGTTTGTCCTTATGATTCATGTTGGTTTTTGGATGATGTTGTATTGATTCACGACGACTCACTCAGCATCTGGTATGAATTAGATGGGACTTTCTCCTGGTGACAGTAAAATGAAACATTTTAAACAAGGCTAACACTAAAATGAGGCCTGGTGGGAATACAAGAGTTTGAGCAATCTTCGGGACTTGGGTCAGTTCCATCAGATGCAGTACCGTCCCAGCAAAGTGAGCAAAAAGTGACATGCGGCTTCAGGGTGGTACTGCTCATGACCTCATGTCTCTACCTCTCCTCACTTTCACCACGATGACTCCTTGCAGGTCAAATTGCTTCCCACAGCGTGTTGTTTTCTCTTGAAGCCATGAGCCCAATTAGACAAATGGGGAATCAGAGGCGGGAAGCTGTCATGGATATTACATCAGGAGTCCAGTTTACTCTGGTCTGTTCCAGGAAGTTTTCCACAGAGTCCCAGAGGACATCTAGTGGTTCTTAACGGGAGATGATTTTTACCACCCCGAGAGGTGTTGGGCAAGGGCTGGAAACATTTTGGGTTGCCACAGCCAGGAAGGTGCTGCTGGTGTCTAGTGCTGCACAGAGGGCAGGGATGCTGCAGAACACCCCACAGTGCTCAGAACAGCACCCACAACAAAGAAGTATTTGGCCCACGTGTCAGTAGTGCCGAGGTTGAGAAACCCTGCTCTAATCCAAACTGACTCCAAATCCCAAGTGAGACGTGATGGTTGTTCAGGCCAGTAACCAACTTAATGAAAAGACCTCCACATATGATGAAATAGATTGTCTGAAAAATCATGTAATTTTTGTGTTTAATATGAGTATATAGCCTGCCTAGATCTGGGTCTCTAAATACCATTCTTCACTGAAAGGAATCAGGGCTCTAGAGAAATATGGCCAGTCCTGGCCTGGGACAGCTGAGCAAGGAAGGTATCAGAGACTATGGGACTATGGATCTGATTAAAAGGACACAGGAGCTGGGCCAGGTGCAATGGTTCAAGCCTGTAATCCCAGCACTTTGGGAGGCTGAGGCGAGAGGATTGCCTGAGCCCATGAGTGTGAGACCAGCCTGGGCAATATGGTGAGAACTCATCTCTACAATAAATTAAAAAATTAGCCGGGTGTGGTAGCGCATGCCTGTAGTTCTGGCTACTTGGAAGGCTGAGGCGGAGGGATCGCTGGAGCCCAGCAGGTTGAGTCTGCAGTGGCCATGAGCATGCCACTGCACTCTAGCCTGGGCGACAGAATGAGACTCCA